GGCAGTCTCGAAATTGTGTGTGTGTGTGTGTGTGTGTGTGTGTGTGTGTGTGTGTATGTGTGTGTGCTTGTGTTATTTGTGAATGACTAATGAGCTACTACCTGAGCTCATTCATTCATCTAGCAGACAGAAGATTGCCACACATGGGATCGGTATTACACATTTGTGTTTCCAAATAAAGAGAAATAATACTAAAACACAGAACACAATGTACCATAACAAGCTGCTCTTGCAAAACGGAATCTGCAGGCGTATCAAGCAAACAGGTTTAGGTAAATGTTTTTTTGACGGAGGCAATTTAGCTTTCGCTTCTGTCAAGTTCCTGTTAGCGATGCAATCACAATTTTCTCCACTTTGGTGTTCCAAGGTAAACATTTTGCAGTGTTGATTTCACATAATAAGCACAGGCCGAGTCTTGATGGGCAGGAATAATCAGGACTGGCCGAAGTGGGTGTACTGCCCTGTGACAAGTCCTTTACTTTAATGATGGCATGTTTTTTAACCCAAAGGTCATTCCTTGAAATAATGCCCTGGAAGACTATTCTCAGCAGGTACTTAATACATACCTCGGAGTTTTCGGCACTTTTATGAAAGAAAGCCAGCCTTGTTCAGTTTTTCACAAAGATATGTTACCCTTATTGAGAGGTATTCACATTCAGAGCTTGTTTATGACTCTAGCGCTGATGAAAGTGGCAAGACGGCATGGATTTAGAATGACCTTTATACAGCATACTCCCACATTTTTACTTGATCTGCTGTGTTATGGAGTAATAATTTTTCTCTGTTTTCAATGATTGAAGGGTTTTTCTATCAAAAAAACATTTCTCATTGGGAGGGTGAGCAAAAACAATTAATGCATTATGTTAATGCATAATGTATCATGAACTAACAAATAATTTTTCACAACATTTAATAATCTAGGTTAATTTAGAGATATACTAGTGATCATTTTTAATTTGTTCTTGTTTGAAATACACTAATATAAATGTACACAACTTTAAATGTTAAAAAATATACATATACAGAAATGAATATTAACCTATAGTATATTAATAAATGCTAAAAAGTAAAGTTAAAATGTAATGTAATTTTTTGGTAATTGTTAGGTTCATGACACATTAAAGTCATGATGTAAAAGATATTATGATATATATTCACATGAAATGTATTATCAAAAATACAAAAAAAAATGTAGGTTGGGGACTTGGTTCTATCCATCAGTTATTGATTGTTGATAAGTTAACATTAAGTGGGGGCGGGGTTCATATGCATATTGTTTTAGTGACTAAAGGAGCTAAAAGCTCTCCTCTGCGATTTGCATACAGTGTTAGTATTCATGTGGCAGTCGGTGTGATTTAATGTTAACACATGAGTAAAATTAATGCCGGCCTCCTTCATCATGCAATAAGTCCTTGCAAATCTGCCACTGCACCATCTAAATTAATGGGAGACCGTGAGGTGATGAGAGGTCAGAGCAAATGCCAGAACACTCATTCAGAACTATGTCAACGGCACCTCATTGCAATCAATGGCACTTGGTTTATCAAAGAACATATTAGGATTTGACTCGATCAATTCAAGAATATAGGGGAAAAACCAACCGAAGAAGTGGACTTATAATGTGCCATTTCAGCTGAAATATTCAAGTCTCCTTGAGTCAACAATATGAACCTGGATCTGGAATACTCAAGAAGTGGTATCTCAGACTTTAATATAGCCAGGTTCATTTAATGGCACACCGCCTCGGTTGGTAAATAAAGTTCAAAGGGCTGGAAATGAGGATGGGAGTATTTTTGCCCTTTCAGATATAGATGCGCAATGCAAGTTGATAATATGCTCTGGTGCACATGGCAAACACCATCCACTACTCTAGCATTTTAGACTAGCTTGTCATTTGGTCCAGGGAATATTCTTTGTAGGTCAACCATTTTGCTCTTGAGTAAATTAGCTGTTCTCATCTCTGAGGGCCAGAGAAAAGATCATCGTAACCTCATGTCAAAGGCAGTTCAAATTTTGGGTCTGTTTTTGCTTGGACTCCAAGACCACTCTCAGATTAATAGATGTTGTGCTGGTCTCCTGTGGCTCCTGTGAAAGTTACATATGGAGGACATCAGGAAGGGATATATGGGAAAGGTAGGAGTAATACAATATGAAATAGAAAATGACAGTTGAGTCAACCGTACAACATGAACACAATGCAGAGTTGAATGTGTTTGTCTGTTATTATAATAACAGTGTACAGTCTGATCAACAAAAATGTGGGAGTGATTGCAGGAGAAGGGCTGGTTCTTGTCTGGGTGTCAGTTTGTCCCGTAGCTGAAGATACCCAACTGATGGGTCCAATTGCACTAAACTGTTTTTAAGGTTCTAATATTGATGTGATGTCAGCCAGTGAAGGCTATGTGGGATCTGTCAAATCTGAGTCAGGTCATTCCTGGGTCAGTCACACTATGGCTATATCAAGCACGATTGGCATGCTGTGATGCATAAATACTCTCAATCATATCAGTGGCGCTGATCCACGCCTTCGTTGTGGATGGTCCTTTTCTGCTTTGTATGCACTATACAGCCGCTTATTCTTGTACTTTTAAAATTAAATTTTTTGGGGTATTTGTGGGGATTTATTAGCAAGTTAGTTATGCAAGTAGGTGGAGGCAAATATTTTTCTGATTGAATTAATTGTGGAACGAAAATACCACCACTTTTTTTTAATAAGTACTTTGTAATCATGAAAAAAGTAAATTGTATGTAGTATTAATATGTATGAATATAATCCAGACGGACATTTGTCATGTTGTCATTGTCATGTGACATACCAGGCTCAGTTGCATTACTTCACTGCCATTCACAAATCCTCTACTGTGGCCTCATGGGATAGTAAAGTGTCTATTAGATGAACACTTCGGAAGAAGCAGGTCATAGGGGTACAGTAATTTTGCTTTCTGTTTTATGAATACTGTGAATTTGCACATACTACTAATTTCAAATACTGTTTATCGCCTGCTGTATAGTAGGGAAGTATATGTATATTTTGTTGCTTGCAGCAGGAAATGTTGTTTTTGTTTTGTTTGCAAATTATTTTCATTGGTGGACCAAAAATAGAGACTATCAATATTGTGTCTAAAATGTAAGCTGATCTATATTACATTGTTTATTGAACATTTGTATAAAAAGTAATATACTAGCAATCTTTCAGAATGATCCGAATGTTCAAGCATTTTAAAATGCTATTTTGCAAAACTTGATGCGTCAAAGCTGTACATAATCTCAGAACATTCACTCTATTATATACAGTATAGGCCTATATAGCAATCATATGAGTGAATTTTCTGAGACGATGTTCAACTTTGACACTTCAAGTGTAGACAGATTCAGTGACGATATGTGTTATTTCATAAGTCAGCTTTTCAGTCTCTTCACCCATTTTCTTTTGGCATATTCACCTGATGCTTCAAACTCAGGCATACTCTCAAAATCAAAGCTGACAGGCTATACGAGTTTAGGAGGTTTTAATCTAGCGATGGGAAAAGGAGCACGAATAGGAACACTTTGTGCATAGAAATCTGGACAATGTCTGTAAACTGTGCCAAACATCCCACATCTAAAAGATCAGCAAACCCTTCACTCACTACATAAATACATGACATCCATCTCTTGAACTGGGATTTATTGTCCTTGTGGACGTTTGTTTGGTGAAGAAGTGCTTGGCCCGCTGCTGCCTTTGCCAGGGTTGATTGACAGCAGGAAATCACCTTCTGAACACAGTGTTCTTACAAACATGGAATGTCAAGGGGAGTCACGTGTGGTTATGACATTGACGAAGTGTTTCACTCTGCCTGATGTCAGGACAACGCATCTGCTGACAGCAGTCTTTCCAATTCACCTCTACAGTAGAGTGTCTGGAGTCACCATTAACCCTGCGCTTCTGCAGTGACTGAATCAGCAAAGACGTGGTTAAAGTTACGTTGTGGCCTGCGAGGTTTTAGTGCCTCTGTAGTACCCTTACTAATTAGTTTGAGGCATGGTGTCATATTCCTGCGTTGTCTGCTGCTCTGATACCACAGTCACCCAGAGGAAAACTTTATTGCTCAGACATTTCTCTGGCATAGGTTACTGTGGAGATCTCATTTATGCAACTTGAAGTTGAAGCATGTAATTTCTGCACCACTACCGACAACCAAATGGAATTTAATTTTAATAAGCAGAATAAAACGTACAAATAAGATTGTACAAATTTACATTAGTTTGCTACTAATTTGCCAAGATGTTAAATAGTTGTGAATTGCCACAAGAGTGCTGTAGAACAGATACACTGCCAAAAAAAAAATAAAAAATACATGTACTTGAGAACACTTTGCCTCTGAGAGATTAGTGTTTTTCCTCTCTTAAAGGCACTCATGATCAGCATTCATGTATCAACTTAATCTGTAGCAAAACCCCACTGGAATACTGGCTGTGAACACGTCTCCTTGCCATTTTAAGCCTTTATGTGTGCCTCTGTTTGTTTGTTTACTGGAATCATTTTGAACAGGTTCTTCAAAGGTTCACGAAAACATAAAAGGAAAAGCTTGAAAGAGCACTTCTTCCTGTGTTATAGGCGTAAAGGAAGGAGAGAAAAGAAAGAGAGAGCCAAAGTGAAAGAGATAGAGATGCTTGATTTTACTACATGGCTGCAGTGGTATGTACAACCTAACACCATACTGCCCTCTAGCACCATTTGAAAGTTTAATATGGTTTATTTTTCATGCATCCCTGAGAGCCAATCACAACCTTCAGTAGAGCTCTAATATTTATTCCGGCCACAAATTAGATAAATAATAAATCTGTAATTGAAACAAAGTTAGAGCTGTTGCCCTGTAGACAT